GACAATGCTGAAGATTTTCAGTGTCTAAGGAAGAATTCATACAAATAAGAAAGTCATTCTGAGTTAAGACGGTGCCCGGGTAGCCTCCGTTTCTCGTGCCTGTAATAGTAAATGCCTTTTGAGGGGTTGATCAGCGTGTGGGGAAACTAAGGAGAGAGACAAATGTAAATGGGACAAGGACAGGCCTCAACAGAGTTCCTGCTCTTGCCTCATAGCTTTCCTGCAGGTTTCTGTGGCCTGCGCATGCAGAATGAACTAACTGAACATTCTCATATTCACTTATACATGATACCACTAAGCTGAGTTAGCTAAGCAATATTACTACAGATAGCTGGCTAGTTCATTTCTAAATGATCCATAATCCAAATCTCCATAGAAAATTCCATCCCCAGATAGGAGGTCTCTCTGTAAGAAATTTTTGGAGAAGGAAAAACTATATACCTTCTCTACACCACCACGACCTGTAATTTCTGTAATTTTTCTTGTGTTTTCTTCAGGGAAAACATGAAGAATACAGTGACTTCTGCAGGGGACTCTCATGATTAAGTCCACTCTATCCTCCTCTCACCATTACTTTCACCATTACTTTCCTAAAACTCAAGCAAAGGAAACAGAATACATGTCCTAAACAACTGGGTGAGGGTCAGGCTGAAGGAAAACCCTGGAGAGAAACAGACACAAAGTCTTGACTGGCCCAAGAACCAGTCTGATGACCAGATACTGCAGTGAACTGGCAGGGTGGATTCTGCAGGCAACTCACCCAGTCCGTTGGCAGGCAACCACACGTCCTCTGGCAGTGCTTGTCAGGCTGGCTAGACTGCAAGATTAACCCACAGTAAGCAGGCGCAAGGAGGTCCAGCAAAAGGAAGCGAAGTGGGCTTGGGTGGCCAAAGTGGGCCGAGATTGGAGAGAACACAAGGATGCTGCTGAGTGGAGAGAGGTTGGAGTGGTGCCTGAGGTTCAGTGGCGCTTGCTGAGAACGGGAGTGGAAGTGGCACGGGCTGGGGTGGAGGCAAGGACAGAGGGGGCTGTGTATGTAGACAGGGGAGGCACAGAGCTGGGATTACTTGGGATGACAGGAAACAGTGAGGATGGGGCCACAGGGCAGGGCTGAAAAATGTAGCTTGGGGCAGGAATTGTGGGGAGCAGTAGAGTGGAGCCAGGGGCTGGGCAGGGGCAGATGCTTGTAGGCGGTTCGGCTTGGGGAGACACAGCAGTAGAGAAGAGGGCTTTGGGAAGGAGATAGGGTTCAGAAAACATACTAGAAGTTAGGAGTGCAAGGCCAAGAGAAAAGATCATGGAGAGGGTAGAAGTTAGGGAGGTAGGCAAATCAAGCTGGGGGACAGGTTATGGGTGACACCACTAAGTTAAGTTAGCAGTGCTGGCAGGCTGCATTGCGGGAGCGGAAGCTCTGGGAAGACCAATGAAGAGATGAGGCGCTGGTGCCTGGATTGGGACTTTGGGCTCTGTCAACAAAGGGCCTGGACCCCCAGCCCCATTCTCCCACACATTTGGCACCTACCGCCACTTGTGAACTGGAGCAGGAGAAGAAGCGCTTCATGGCCGGGGCCGGGGCCGGGGCCGGGGCCACTGGGGGACGGGGACGCGCGGAGCCAGGCCACAAGTTCCCAAGCCCACCGAACTCGGCTGCGGTTGTGCAAGAAACAGCTGTCAAACCCAGAGGGCCCCGCCCCGGCCCCGCCCCCGACCAGCCCCACTCAATCAGAGGCGAGAACCCGGGGACCGGGCTTAGAGCTCCGCCCCTCGCCCGACCCCATCCCGCCCCTGCAGAGAAGAAAACCCGCAGTACCGCTGCGACGCCGCCAACTGCTCACCTACCGGTCCAGCCTCCTCCAACCGAGAAGGAACCCCGGGGGGCAACGGCAGTAACACCTCGCTGGCCCCGCCCCCGCCGGTGGGAATGCGACTCCGCCCCCGGCCCCGCCCCGCCCCGGCCCCGCCCCAGTCCCCCTTGGGCACTGCTGGAAGCCGAGGGGCCGGGCTGCTCTGGAGGGCTTCGGTCTTACCAGCTCCTTTTACCATTGAAGACGGCGCTTTATTATATCCAGACACATCTGACCAGTTACCTCGGCTTCTTCTCCCGTCCTCCAGCCTCTCGCCAAAAACCCAGGGACAAAAGAGAATTTAAAGAGAAGAGTTTGGAAACTCGAGGAGAGTGTAGCCCTAAGCAAGGACCTGAGCAGGAAAACGTGTGGCCCCCTGTAACCTGAGGACAAAAACCTGAGGGAAGGGTTAATTTCTTAACGAAACTTGGAGTTGGAAAAGGGAAAGGAGAGCTGGGCGCTGTGGCACACAACTGTAATCCCAGCATGCGGGAGGCTGAAGCAGGATGATTGCCACGAATTTGAGACCAGCCAAGGGTACAAAATGAGTTCAAGGCCAGCCTGAACTACCGAGCAACATCCTGTCTCAAAATTTAAAAAAAAAAAAAAGCCGGGCGTGTGTGGCTCACGCCTGTAATCAATCCCACAATCCCAGCAATTTGAGAGGCCGAGACAGGAGGCTTACAAATTTCAAGCCGGCCTGGGCAATTTAGCAAGACTCTAAAAGTCCATTGTTCAATTGATCGCTCAGTGAACGAGAGCTTGGGATGTAGCTCAACACACCTTGTGGTTCAACCCTCAATTGGGGGAGGGTGTAGAAAAAACCAAATACTATCTTCCCTAGTTTCTCTACCTTTTCAGTTCGGATTCTCAGTAATTCGCGCTTAAACTGCTGCAGCCACTTGGTCTTCCCATCCCTCCTTTTTCTGTGCAGCCCCAGTAGTCTGTTAACATGCACCTGAAAACCTACAGGATGAAGCCCAGAGTTCTTTTTTGTTTTTTTCTTCCAGTACCAGGAATACAAACTCACGACCTTGCGCTTGCCAGGCAGGCGCTGTGCCACTGAGCCGAATCTCCAGCCCCTGATTCCCACTGTTCTTAAGGTGACTAAAAGGCTCTTCAGGAGCTGGTCCCTGCCTTCTTTCAGTCTCACCTCTAGTTACATTCACAAAAGAGCCCAAGATCAAACTGCTGTAATTACTACAATTTCCTTTGCAACTGGTGATTAATCCTCCCTGGAATGCCTCCTCTCATACGTGTTGGGGCACCAAGAAAGTTTTTGTTTGTTTGTTCTGTAAAATTTTCCTTTAAAACCCTGCCACTCTGCCCCCCAAAAGGGTACATTCTGTACCCTTGCACATACCCTAGTATTTACTGGTATATTATATAGCAACCATCTCTTTATATTAGTCATTATTTCTTTATTGTTTCTTCTTCTAGTCTGGACTCTTTGGTGCTAGCAGTTATATTTTATATTCTCATTTCTTGCAAATGTTAGGTGCTTAACGTTGAAGGAAGGAAGGAAGGCAGGAAGGCAGGCAGGCAGGAAGGAAGGAAGAACAGAAGGAAGGAAGGAAGGAAAGGAAGGAGCAAGCAAAGAAGCAATAAGAAGAAAGGAACACTCTCTTTTATGGGGAGAACCTGTTGTTTATTGCTTCTCAAACTGGTATTGTTCCAAAGGAAAGGACAACAAGCTTATTGAGGAATAGACTGGGGTTGGAAAAAGCCCTACTCAGGGGCTAACGATGGACAGGAGACAGATCTCCAGATGGAGAAAAAAATTAGTCACATGAGTGAAGAAGTAGATGAACCAGTCCTTAAAAGAAACCTCCTCCCTTTGGAGGTTCACTGGGAGTGATGAAGTGAGGGAAGTCTATCAACAAAAGCAAATCCTCCATTCCAGCTCCAGGCACAGTATGCTCTACAAGGTTGATCAAGTTATAGTCTACATGAAGTTCAGGGAGGGGCTACACAGACACTTTCCTGTCACAGAACAACTCAACTAGCTTGATGCAGAATGCTATCTCTGCGTGGAGGCTCATTGGGCATTCGAGGCCAGCCTAGGCTACAAAGTGAGTTCAAGGCCAGCCTGAACTGCATAGCTAGACCCTGTCTCAAAATTAAAATTAAAAAAATATATGAATGCTATCTCTGCCTAACATCCCAGACAGGCCATGATCTCAGGGCTAGGTAAGAGATGCAGACACACACGGTCTCTAGAAGGCTACTACTTAAGTGTGCATGTTCTTCCTTGGAGATACTAGAACCCTGGGTATCACAAGAGGAGCCTAGAAGACATCTGGGTATCTGAAGAAATAGAAAAGAATCCTTAAGCTAATCAGTTAATTATCACCTTAGTGGACTCAAGAGCATATGGTAAAGGAGATGAGGCACAGGATAAGGTATAGTGGAAGGATATAATAGCAGACAGAAGAAACAACTCTTCAGGGTCTGGGAGATGGATCACCAGAACAAGAATACCACTTGGGTATTCTTCTCACTTACTCTTCATAAATAGTAAGGCAGATTATTTTATAACAAAATATTTCACAGTTACCATTTATCAAGCACTTACTATATGTTCACTTTGCTTAGATGATCTCATTTTGTCTTTACAACAGTAATTTAAAGACAAGATAGCTAAGACAGGGCTGGAGCGATAGCTCAGTGGCACAGTGCCTGCCTGGCAAGTGCAAGGTTCTAAGTTTGATTCCCAGTATCAAAAGAAAAAAAAAAAAATAGCTGAGACTTTGTGAAGTTGAATCTGTCTCAGGTCAAATAGGTTTTAAGTGGTATGGCCTAGATTTAAACCCAAATCTGTCTTCTTTCCTAACCACACTACTTACTGTGATCTGAGTCTCTGAGATGTTATGACTTGCTTAGGACCATATAGGTAATAAACAGTAGACTTGAGATTTCAACTTAGGCCTTTGTGTTCCTCAAAACTACAGTTTACACTCTATGATAGCTCAAGTGGGTAAGACTTGCAGGAGGTGAGAGCACATCTCTGGTGGGAGAGTCACAGCAAATTTTCCAAATACTTCATAACTTTGCCTTCCAGTGACTCCATTAGGTAATGTCTCAGGCAAATCAAGAATTTACCTCTTACTATCCCTGAGCAGGCTATATCCTCAGGAACTCAAAGAAAGCCAGAAGTACTTGACACTGACCTTTATTTGTTATGACCATCTGATATACTGTCCACAGTGCTGGGAAACAGAGACAATGCCCAGGAGGGTGGCCCTCTTCAGAGGGCCAGAGACATGCCAAAATAAACATTGTGGTGAGGCCTGAAGAACAGCCTGGGAGGACAGGTTCTGTGGCTGCTAGTGAACTGCCCGATGAGGTGTTTCTCTCTTCTCAGGTAGAAATGGATGCTGATCTTTCAAATGGCTGTCAAAGTTGCACTCTGGAGACCAGTAACTGCCTTTGGTATCCAAAGTCTTGATTACAAAGAAACATATGTTTTGAGATGTCTGTGAGAATCCACTTGTCTTTTCTAGCCACAACAACATGGGATGAGGATAGGATATGTTAGAGAGAGAAATTATCTTGGTGATTTCCAGTAAATATTAGGCAAGGGCTACCAAACATTCCAACAGAGACATCCTACAAAATATGACCAGAGTTGCCCCAGAAATATTTTGCTAGGAGTTATTTGTGCTAAAAAACCAACACTGGGCAGGTAAAGCCTTGCTTTCCAGGGACCTCATGCAACCCACTTCCTCTTTTTAATGCAGTTCTACTTGTTTGGATCGCATGGGACTGCTGCTTCCCAAAGCTGAGAAGGTGGAAGGGTTTTCCCCCCTAAAACAGCAATCCTTTTCCTTCTGTTTGCTTTCCATAAGGAGGTCCCAGTGAGGGCCAAAGAGTAAGGTCTGAGAGAAGTAGAGAAAACACTGCCTAGGGTGCCCAGTCTTCTCTGCTATTCCAGCTTTAGCCACCCGGGGGCCCCCGGCTCCAGAAAATCAGGCACCCAGCCCTGGTTTTGCTCCTAGGGAAGGCTGAGGGTTGGCAAGCTCTCGCCCAGCAAGCCTGGGGGCAGCTCTGTTTCCCTAGCACCTGAGGGAGGGCGAGTGCACTAGCAAAGCTCAGGTTTCAGAGGGGATGGCAGTTGCCTGTCTAAAGGCTTCTCTGTTCCTTGGAATTGTACAGAATGTCTCTTGTGGCTTTTCCTCCTCCCTCCTTTTTTCCTGTTGACTCTACCCATCCAGCTCTATGAATCACTAAGCTCCACAGGAAAGCAGCAGATGTTGACTTTACTTCTTTCAAGCCAACGTCAGCAACCTCCTGTGGAGTGGGGAGCAAGCAGGAAGTTGAAAGAGTTGGTACTGAATGGAGGAGGATAATCTTCATCCTTTGCGAACTGCGAGGAGAGACCAAGAGGGAGTTTGAGAGGAGTCAGGGACCTAAGCAAAAAGTTCTCTTGATTCCCGGGGATAGGGAAAAGACCCCAGTGTTGACTGTGGAATTGGGACCATGCAGAGGGTGAGAGCATTACTGATTTTGGTGCCAGCCCTTCTTGTCTGAGGTAAAGCCTCATCTCTTGCCAGCAGCATCCCCATGACTCCAAAGTCAAGTCAGGCTGTGAGTCTGAGGAGACAGTCCAGAGGCTTCTTCTTGATCCCACAGGGCCCTCAAACCTCTGCTCTGACACAAGTCACTGAAGAAGCTGCCAGAGAGGACTTTCTAGAGCCTTATTCTGCATTCATTCCTCCAACTTTTCTTTTTTCTTCCTCGGGGATTTTCTTACGTGTAAAGAAGCCAAGCTATAGAGGAAGAGATAAGAGTCACTGCCAAATGCCCAGACTGGGGACTTTGCCAATAGCCCTTAGGACCTATCTGAGGTCTTCGCTTCTGTTCTGATTCCAAAATAGGACTCAAATTTATTTTATTTGGCTTAGTTTAATTCCACCAGCATTTGTGGAATACAGTGAAGGAGATCTGGGCATGACACCCTCAGCCTGCTTAGCTGGCAGTTGTACCCAGCGTGAGGTATACTCTCTGTGCTATAATCAAGGATCTCTCTGACGGGGATGTGGCTCCATGGCAGACCCCTTGACTAGCATGTATGAGGCCCTGGGTTTGATACCCAGCAGTACCAAAAAAGAAAAGAAAAGAAACCCTGCCTAGTGGACACAGTGCTCCTCACTTCCACTAAAGCAGTGCTCACCTTCCACAAGCAGAAGACAAGAAGAGCAAGCAGGAGCAGCCCTCCCAGGACACTCCCAGCGAGGGTCCACAGGGAGATGAGGGTGGGGTGGGTCTGAATCACCTCCAGGAGGCTCTGTGGGGAGAAGAGGGGTTCTTTCACATTGCTTTTTAACCCAGCTACCTTCACTCATGTTTAGCAAAGCCAGCCCCCAAACAGAATAAAGAACCTCTTTCTACTCAAAGGCAACTGAAGTAGGAATGGAGACAGCAGAACTCTAGCATTTTCATTTAAAACTTCTGACTCATCAACTGCTACCTGATAGAGAAGCATTTGTTTTGGAAAAAAACCCGTAAGTGCCCTTACCTCATCCCATGCCATTATTTTCACAGCTTTCACACTCAGCCTCCAGCCCTACCTCACTCCAGCGGGAGGCTTCAGTCAGCTGTAGGACACTGTGCTCCTCAGTTCCCAGCTCAAAGGTGCTGACCACTGTCAGGGACTTGAACTTGGCCTGGAACAAGTGGATGGGAAGACATTTAAAATAAGCCACCATCAAATGGTGTGTGTGTGTGTGTGTGTGTGTGTGTGTGTGTGTGTGTGTGTAACCCCAAGAACAAAGTTCAGGCTAAGTGGCACAACTTCCAGGATTTTCAAGATCAGAAGAAAAGGCTGAAGGCCACTGGGAAAAGGGAGAATAGGTAATAGATGGAAAATCTCTGGTCTCCCAAATACACTGTTTACCTAAGATACATTCCACTCTCCTTTCCTCTGGCTACCCTCTACCTTTCTTTTTTCTTTCTCTACAGCACCCAGGGAGTGCTGAACTATATCACCAGACCTTTCTACTTTGAGACAAAGTCTTGGTAAGTTAATCAGGCTAGCCTCCAACTTCATAATCCCCTTACCTCAGCCTCCTAAGTAGCTGGAACTACAGGTATGTACCACCATGCCCGGCTTCCATCCCTCTTTATATTGAAGTTCACTCTTGTGGGAATTAGGAAAGTATTTCCTGCTAACTCCCACCAATTCTGGTACTATTGTTTGGATATGGCTTGAGTGTCCTCCAAGCCTTCAAGTATTGAACTTTCACCTCCATTGTGATATATTAAGAAGGTAGAGATGTTATCCAAGTATGGTGTTTAGATGGGGTCTTTGGGAAGTGATTAGGATCAGATAAAGGCATTAGGGTGGAGACCCCATGATTGAGTCCTGGTCACTTTATTAGAAGAAAGAGAGAGACCAGACATATATGTAATGCAGCCAAGGGCATCCTCAAGAACTGAACTGATCCTAGCACTATGCCTTTGAGCTTAATACATCTAGTTTCTCTGCCTTTTGCTACTGAACAATAAGAACCTTGAAATTTGAGGTCTGTGTTTTACTAGCTTTTGTGTCCTCAGTGCTTGTCACAGTGCCAAAGATGTAGTGATTTCTTAATAAATCCTTGTTAAAGGAATAAATGAATGAAAAATGTACCAAAGAAGGATAAAGAGAGAACCAGACTTAGAAAAGGGTGGTTTGTCAGACTTAGCTTCCCTAAAACATACGCCTACATCACAAGGATCTTGTGTTATTCAAACTTTATAGGAATGCACAATATAGCTAAATAGCTATTTATAATTAAGATGTCATTTCCCTGCTCAGGAACTCACACTGACTTCTGAGTGTTCATCATATCACGTTCAGTTTTATCACCCTAGTCAGAGATCTCTCACTGTGAGCCAGCCTCCAGATTCGTCTCAACTATACAATCTTACTCCTCACTGTTCTCCAGTAAGTACTCTGCATGTAGTATTAATTATTTAATCATTTAACAAAAACGCACCTACAGTGCGGTGCTTAATGTTGGGGACATTCTCCTCAGTGCTGATCTAATACAGAAGCTTGTATTTAAGAGGTACTTGTTAAATTTAGGTACCCTATAAATGTGAATTGACCATTATTATTACAGAACCAAGGAATGACAGAAGAAAATAATACAGAGATAGTAACTAGGTTTTATTGAGTGTTCACATATGTCCAACTCATTATCCGTTTATTCTTTACAACTCTAAGAAATAAGTACCTTTTTAATTTTAAAGGTCAGGAAAAAGCTTAGCGAAATACAATAAATTTCTCATGGTCAGATAACTGGTAAGAAGTAAAACTAGAACTTCAAAATAGGTCTGTTTACCTCTAAAGCCTGTTATTGTTCCAAGAGCAAAAGAAGAATAGCCAAAAAGGAAAAGTTTACCCTTCGGAAAAATTCGTTGTGAACCAGCCTCAGTAGTCCAATAGAGACCTCAGCTCCCTTTGCCAGCTGCCCAAGGCGGCACCTCACGACCTGACACCAAGTATTGCTCCCATTCTATCAGAGGAGAGAGACAGATCAGGGTCCCAGAACAGAAAGATCTCTTTCCACCTCCACCCTCTCACACCGCCAGAAGGCATGCAAATCTACTCGCATCTCTCCTTGCACACACTCTTGGGATTCATACCAGTCTGTTTGTGTGTTGAAGCTCCTCCAGACGCACAGCAGGCCCTGGGGGCTCAGTCAGGTTTTGCACTGTGCAGCTTGCCTAGAGGGATATCCAACTTGAAAGACTCTCCTGGTGGGGGAATGCCAGCCACTGCAAGCTGAGCAGGAATGAACTATCCATACCCAAATGTCCTGTGTGTAATCCCTTTCTTTCCTCCCAAAGAAGCTACACACATAAAACAAAGGTCCTCCAAGAAGAGGGCCTCTGAGAGCAGTAGGGAGCTTCAGTGAGGCTGCTAGCCCAAAAGGCCAGGGTTCCCCATGCTCCCACCCAGACTCACATTATTGGTGATGACTTGCGATAGTGACAGAAAGTAATTGCCCCCATGAGCTACAGCTGGAAGGAGGGCTGAGATGATGAGGCCACTGACCACATAACAGCCGAGGTTCTGAACCTGAAAGGATTGGAAATGGGAAGAGGTGGGAAACAGAAGACCCCTCCTCATCTGCCCCTCTTCACACTAGGTATTGAAATCTAAGACAGACCATCCCATCCTTTCCCACACAGCTGTGGCTTGTCCCCAGCCCCACCCTCTCTGTCATGCCAAGGTCCCTCCAGCTTCTTACCCTAAGAGTGGTTTTGAATTCAGGACCAGGACCCAGTGAGAGGATTCTATAAGGGTGAACCTCATAGCGCTGCAGGGTGGACTCACTGTGTGGACACCAAGTTAGGAGGTACCAGGTGACATCCATGACCCAGACACAGGGACACATGATCAGCATATAGCATATGGGTCAGGGAAAGTAGGACCAACATATGGATAAAGAGAAAAGGGTACATGGAGAAAAAAGAAATGGAACATAATATAGACTTAATATATTCTCTAGGGCTGCATCCTATATCGCCACATCCCAGCTCCAGGGCCCAAGGCCTAAGAAAGCCCTACCCAGGAAAGTAAGGTGCTTAAAAGAGAAGGTTCATCATGAGTGGGAGTAAGGACAGGAAGACAGAGAAGCCTCAGGTTTTATGTTTCTGAGAACACTGAAGCACACGGAAGGAGAGAGAAAAAAGAAAAGAGTATGAGTCTGAGGTCAGAACTGGGTCCTAGTCAGGATCTGGGTCATACCTGGAGAATAGGAGGTGAGGCTCATATTGGACGTAGGCAGAAGTCTGGGCTATATTGTCTTGAAGGGTCCTATTCCTCTCCAGGCTACTGCTGTAGAGTCAGTGGGGAAAGTTCACACTGAAATTCCTCCTCAGATATGCTTTTCTGCTAACAGAGGAGTCAGTGCTATTCCTGCCCCTATTACCCGGGTCAAAAACCCAACAAAGGAAAGCTTCAAGGAAGTTCCCTTTATTCTCACCTACTGGCAGTCAGCCTCACGAAGACTTGACTCAGGAGAGAGGAGCAGCTAAACTCAAACTCTAGCAGAAAGGTCACCTGGGGGCAGGGGACATGTGCAAATGGTAGGTTCTTTCTTGTAGAACAACTACAGAGGAACAGGAGCCTCTGGGTGCCTCCTCCCCTGTACTCCTGGACCCCACAGATCCCAGCCCCTGCTCTCGCAGAGTCCTTTTCCCACTCTGGGCCCCAACTCACCTTAGCACCAGTCTGGAAGACGGGATGCCCCACACTGCAGAGCCGGGCATGAGGCGTAGTCGCTGCACATTCCACTTTTACCCGGCTATTCCTCTGAGGGCAAAGGAAGGAGAGTGGAGGCTGGAGCTGGAGCTGCAACTGTTCTCTACCCACAGCCCCTAAACACTGAGCCTCCCTCCAGGGTCCCTCACAGCCAGGATCAATACCCTGATCTTCCTCCTCCTTTCTCTCCTCCTCCTAAACCCCCTCCTTCATGGGCACCTGAGGAATGAGACTGGCCAGGTGGAGATTTTTAGAGAAGGTGAGACTCAAGCTAGTGTTGTAGGCATTTTCCTTCCTGTTCTCCAGAGTTGCTGATACCAGCACTTTTTGCCGGCCACCTTGAATCACGAATGGAGCCTTCCTGGGAATGGTGAATAAGGGAGAGACCAGGAGTTGATGGAGTATCAAAAGCCTCACTTCTATTACCCTGGCTAAAAACTCCCTCCCACTGGCAAGATCCAACTCCCTTCTGATCTGTATCAAGGCCCCCTGGTTTGCCTGGTTCATATCCATCCAACCTGGAGCCTCTGATGTCCATTTTGGCTTGGAGCACCAAATCTGTGACACATTCATTGTCAGGGCCACAATCTTTTGAGAAGGGGACCTGGAAGAGGGAGAAAGGCCTGAGGGCTGAGAAGAAAGCAAGGAGAAAGTACTGGAACTGGGTGAAAGCAAAAAGAGAAGCGTGGATCTACTTCTTTCTTTTTTTTTTTTCCCGGTACTGGGAAACAAACTCATGACCTTGCACTTGCCAGGCAGGCGCTGTGCCACTGAGCTAAATTCCCAGACCCTTTCTTTCTTTTTTTGAGACAGGGTTTCACTATGTAGTCCAGGTTGGCCTTGAACTCACTATGTAGCCCAGGCTGGCCTCAAACTCGTGGAAATCCTTGTGCCTCAGCCTCCCAAGTGCTGGGATTACAGGCGTGTACCATGCCTGGCTCAAGTGGATCTACTTTGATTAGAAGGACCTGGGTCAGATTTCACTGTGATCTCACATCTCCCCTTCCCCTTTCTTTCAAACCCACTGGGAGGGCAGTATTGGGATCCAGGGGCCAAGCAGGGCTTGTTACTGCTAACCAGCTTTTGTAGAGAGGTGGGTGAACTTTCATCCAGCACAGGCCCTGGCTTTGTCGTGTTGTCCAAGGCAAAGGTCACGGTCAAGACCACCGGTCGGAGGTAATCTGATGTATCCTAAGGGAAAACAGAGTCAAGGACCACAGGGAGCAAAAGTGAGAGATGTAATGCAGGCCCATGAAAGAATATGATAACTGCAGCGATCATTTCTGGAGCACTTTCTGTGTGCTAGGCATTGTCCTGAGATTTAATCAATACTATTAAATTTAATTATAATACCACTCCTATGATATAGTTATTTTCATCTCTTTGCAGACAAGGACACAGATTTGGAGATTGGGTGACGAGCCGGTGTTCATGGTGGTTAATGCCAGACCTAGGATTCAAATCCTGACTGGACCTACCTCCCAGTCTCAATTGTCTCACTTTCCCCGTTTTGACTTCCTTGCTGTCTAGTTGAAATTCCTTCTCTGACCCAGCCTCCCCCTCCTTCTCAGGCCCCTTCCTCACCAGCACATGGAAGTGCAGCTGCTCACATGTGACATTTCCCACGCTGAGCTGGAGACGCACAGGAGAGAGCCTCTGGCCAGAGCTATCAAATGCTGCCCGTACCCCAGCTGTCCACTCATCCAGTGATGCTGTCACCTGCATATCTGAACAGGGAGGCAAGAATGAGGGTGCAGGGGGCTCAGAGACCAGAACAGGCAAGGAGTCTGGGGTGCTAGGGGATGCATCTAGTCACTCACTGAACCTGCGGTCCCAGTGACCAGGAGTACGGGAGGTCGCGTGGAAGCAGAGGTCAGCAGTCAGGCAGACTGCTTCCTGCCTGCGCCGTCTACAGTCCCTCTGCACCACGCTGATGGCTGGTGGGGTCACATCCAGTGAGAGGGCCACATGGACAATGGGCTGGGAGCTGGGAATGGCAGGAAAGAAATGAGAGCAGTGAGAGGTAAGTGCTTTGAGAAGTGCAACCCCAGTGTCTCCCTCTTCATGATCAAAACAAAGAACAAGGGATGGAAGGCATGCACGTTAGCCTCCCTGAACTCTGTGACAGAAGTCAGACAGCAGGTTCGATTCACCAGGTACCAACTCTATTACAATCTTTCCATGGCTGTCTCAGTTGAGCCTTACAATAAAGCTATGGGCAGGTACTATACTATTATTTTCTCTTCTTTTTAAGTGTTTTTGTTTTGTTTTAGTTTTACTTTTAGTTTTTTGAGACAAAGTCTTGCTGTGTAGTCCAGGCTGGCCTCAAACTTGTAGCTATCCTGCCTCAGTCTCCTGAGTGCTGGGATTACAGGTGTGTGCCACCACACCTGGCAGGTACTACTGTTATTGTCATTCTGGAAATTAGGATAAGCTGACCTAGAAACCCAAATCTTAACTCCAGAGCCCTTATGACTCCAAAGCTCTTGCTCTTAATAGCTTTGCTGTGCTGCCCTCTGCTACCTGAGTGGGGCTCCTCACCTCAGCAGGACAACTGCCCCCTGGGCACCCACAGCCACATCCACCAGATCATCTCCATCCAGATCTAGCCGGCCATCTATACTTCGACCAAAGTAGCTGAGAGCCCGTGGCATGGAGACAGCTGCAATCCGCTGGGAGGAGAAGAGGGGACACTGAGACAAAGATTCACACCAACTGGTTTTTCATTCCACCTGCCAGGTTCTTTCTAATACCTGACTAGGCACGGAAGTAAGAGAACCTTGCTTGTGGTCAGGACTCCCTAGTTTGGTAAACTGTATCCTATCCCACCATCTCGATTTTTTTCCTACTGGTCAAACACTTGTTCAGTTTTGTTCTTAAGCCAAAGAGACTATAGATAAGTAAAAAGCACACCTCCCCTTCCTTTGACTGTGCCCCGGCATTATCTGGGCACTCCTGACCTGGGCAGGGTGGGGCCTGACTCCACTCTGGGTTCCGTGATACAAGTACAGGGCTCCCTGGTGCCCATCCTCCAGCGGAGCGCCCACAGCCACATCAGCAAAGCCATCTTGGTTTAGATCAGGAAGAGCACCCATGGCAAAGCCAAACCGAGCATCCTGTGGGGGTTCTGGCTGAAGTGTCCCTTGGAGCATCAGCAAAGACTGCTGATGGAGATGAGAAGACAGATGGTATTTATTTGGTAGCCCCAATCTCTCAGCCAGCCCTTCAATATGTTGCTCCCCTCCATTCCACCTTTCCCCCAAAACCCAGCAGGTCCCAGCTAGCCTTACCTGGCCCACCCGATACACATAAACACGTCCTGTCTCCTTGTTCTGGGGTCCCAGGAACATGGGAGCAGCCACAAGTAAGACATCAGTTGTTCCATCGCTATCCGTATCCAATGGGCAGAGCTCACTGCCAAAGTATGAGCCAATCTGGGGAGTGGTGGGTGGCAGCGACCCAGAGCAAAGGGGAGGTGACTGTGAACAAGTAAACTCAGTGGGAAGCAGTCACCCACCTGCCAACCTGGTCCTTACATCCCTGACAAACTCTGCCAATCAGAACTCAGCACTGATATTTCAGGCCTCCCTCATTCCCCTTCTCACTCTTCCCCCTCAGGCTGAAGGAGCCCGGGTACCCGAAGGTCCCACCTTCCCTTGATGCCCTACCTGCTCCCCTTGGAGGCTGTGGGCAACCTTCACAGTCCCATCTTTCTTAAGCTGGAAGGCGATGACTTTTCCTCGATGTCTAAACCTAGGGGCCCCTGAGAGAAAGAGGCGACGTCCACTCCGCAGAAGCATGGAGGAAACAGAGTAACCTGGAAGTGTGTAAGAGGGAGAGAAGATGGGGTCAGAAGGGCACGCTTCCCTAAAGACTTGGAGGAAGTCCCAGGGGAAGTGACAAGAAACTACATGAGGAACTCAGAAAGTGCTTCTTCTTCCTACTTTCCCAGTCCTCTGCAACTCCCTGCTACTCACCTAGGTAGGATGCATGATTCTGCAATGCAGGGGGAAACTCATCTTCCAGGGCCGTTTGTAGGGGGAAATGGTGATGACCTTCTTCAAGCCACAGTACTGAGCCCCCCCAGTCATAGGCCCCCACCATCCCAAAGAGAATTCCATCCTGTGGAGCAAAACCAGACCGGTCACTGAGAAGATGGGCAGGGGACAAAGAGGAAACACTGGGAATGAGAGGATCATTGAGTGCAAGGTTAGCATGGAGGTTGGTTAAAGGAGGAATGTGGAAGGCCCCTGAGGTTTAAGTTGGAAGGAGCCATGAAGGGGTCAGAGGCTAGATGTCATGGAGGGGTCAGAATCTGTCCAACCTTTAGCTGATGTGTAGAGAAACCAATCTGAGACATTTCCAGCCCAAAAGAGCTTTCATTTTCTCCATGGGACCCTTGGGTATGAGAAAATATCAAGGTATTACTAGGGAAAGACAGTTCCCAATTTGAGCTATTGAGCTCCCTCTAGAATCCCACTTATACCTCTGCAGCCCCCACTACCCTCTCCCTCCTTTTCCCACGGTTAGCATTACCTTCAAGGCCAAAAATCCGGTCTCCTAGTGCATCCACAATATCAGTCAGTGCAGCCTCATCTGTAACATTGAAAAAGAATCGCTCATCTGGATCACTGGCAATTGCTCTAATTTCCCGAAGAAAAGAGCTAGGGTCTCGTTGCCGACGAAGGTAGTGACCAAGGACCTGAGGTCAGGAGACCAAGATGGATAGGGTAAGACGTTAGTTGATACATACCGTAGCCAAATGAAGCAAAGGGAGTAAATATGGCTAAAGTCCAGAAAGTAGTAGTGTTCCTATTTTAAATTCTTGGTCCTCAAAGTCTTCCTCTGCCAACCCTTCTAGATCTACAGTCAGTTCTCACCGCAATCCCATAACGTGTCACTTTTCCAGCCTCACAGGCCTTTAGTGCTGCCGGAAGATCCTCTCCATCATGTGACTCTCCATCAGTGACCACCACCAGTAACCTGGCAGCCTCTGGTCGTCCACCCCGGGATTGACTGAACCCTTCTGTGCTGATGAGAAAGAAAAGAATGAAATATAATCAGATATAAACACACACATGCACACACACGCACACACAATAGGATTTAGCACTGTCAATTCTCTGCGGTCAGGGATCTTGACTTTTAGGCCATTTCCCAAGAATGCCTAACATGGAAACTGGCACAGAGTAAGAGCTCAAATATTTGAATGCCATACAGGATACAGAATAGCATATCATCAATGAAATTAAGTATAAAATGTATTCACTCATAGATTCAGTCAACAAATATTATGGTTGAGAAAACATACTAAGGGAATGTAGAATTCAGAGGAGAATGATCAGGTCAAGGGAGTCTTCCCAAGATGATGTGAATCATGTTTGGAAAAAGAGCTAGGGCATGAGTGGTGGAGAATCTAAGGGTTGGAACCAAAGCTGGAGCGGAAGCATAGAGAGACAAAGTTTTGTCTACAGAGATAAAGCAAAGACACCAATAGACACAGACACATTTTATAGAAAAGCAAGGAAAAGGAGCATAGTGACAGCCAATTTAGCCTTCTTCCCTGCACAACTGGTGTGCAAAATAAGTATGCAAGCTAGGCGTGGTAGCACATGCCTGTAACCCCAGGACTCAGGAGGCTGAGGCAGGCAGATCACTGTGAATTTGAGGCCAGCCTGGGCTACACTGAGTTCAAAGCCAGCCTGCACTAAAAAGCAATACCCTGTCTAAAAGAAATTAAATAAATACATAAAGATAAGCATGCAGAACATCTTGGGATGTTCACAGCACACTCCAAGGCCTCCCCTAAGCCTCTCAACCCTCACCACCCTGGTCTTCCACATTCCCGCTCACAGCGCCTCACCAGGCCACCTTTATTGCTTGGGCAGTCTTCGTTTCTCGTCCCTCCTGCCGACTGAGGTTCCTTGCAGCTCTCACCACTTCTCCCTTAGTTCGAAAATCTCCCAGGGACCACTCATGTACAGGGCTCTCCCCATATTGTACCAGTCCCACCTGAGAGTAAATTGTGCATCAGATGGAATGTATACAGGAGTAGGGAGAGGAAGGACAAGAAAGGATATGAAAGAGGAGAGATAAACACTTCGATACTACAGAAGACACTACCCACATTTATCTCTTTACCTCCAAACCCATCCATAATGCTTTATCTTACCTGTATCTGTTCTGGATCAATAAACAATCTCCCTACCAGCCTCCGTAGGAAAGTCTGAACTTCAGACCAGGGGTAGATGCTGTTGGAGCCATCCAAGACGATGACAACATCCATGTATGTGGGGCAGCCTAGAAGTAGGAATATGATGATGAGAAACAAAGAAATAGAAGGGTATCAAGCTAGGATCAACAAAGGAAGAGATCACAGGAGGGCACATTCAATTCAAACATTTATTAATCATGTTTTCGTAGAAGGAAAATACTGTGACAGGCTCTGGAAAAGTACAGAAACAAAAAAAAGAAGAAACAGGCATAGATGCAACTTACAAAAAAACAAAGAAAGAAAGAAATGCTAGATTGAAATATAACACCGTTCTGGGCTGTGGAAGAATGACATGGTCCATTTTTTTTTTCCAGTGCTGGGGTTTGAACCCTGGGCTTTGTCCACGGTGGAGAATAAAACGAGGTAGAAAAAGAAGGTATTGAAGGGCTAGGGTTGTAGCTCAGTGGTAGAGTGTTTGCCTGGCATTTGCAAAACCCTGGATTTAGTCCCCGGCACTACAAAAAGAAGTATTGTAGACTAAAGACGTTGGAAGAGAAGAGAAAGTAAGGAAAGGTGTGTTGGTAAAGAATACTGGAAATGAGGGAAACAGAGGTATGAAAATGATGACACACAGGAGAATGGTGAAGGGAAGGCTGTGCCCATGACATAAGTGTATAGAGGGGTAAGCTGAGTTTTTAAATTGGTTAGATCAGATCATGGAGAATTGATGCCTCAGGGGTCTGAACTCTGTTAGGAGACATGAAGTGTTTGCAGGCATATTATATAGCCACAAGCATAGCCACAGAGGCCTCTGCCAGGCATCACACCATTTCGCCCTCTTCTTCCCATCCAGCCCTCTCTCCTGGGAACTGGGCCCCAGGCCTTACGTTGGGCAGTGGGCGCCAGGCTTCCTTGGGGCTGGAATGAAGCATCCACACGGGCACATATCCCAGAACTGAAGACAGAGCTGCCACAAGCACGAGACCAGAGAGGGGCACAGGCCTGGGGATGGGTGGGGGAAATAGTTACTCTGAGCTTCGAAGGGAATGCCCTAAACATGCTCCTCATCAAAGGAGGCATTGAGACCACTCCTGGAGATGCCCTACTTTGCTCTCTAGGGGTTTACACTCCTTGACACCTCCACAAAGAACCACAGTTTCCCTTACCACAACGCTCTTTTCTTCACCATGAACCTTCAGAGACCCTACCACCACCCTTTCCTCAGCTCACCAGAAATCCCCCATCAGCATCTGTCTCTTGTAGAGACATCCCCAGGTGCATATTCACAGCAGGATGAGATGAATTTCCCAGTTGATAATCACCTGGTCGGAGGGAGGTGGAAAAGATAAAGGTCATGGGGTCACAGATGGGATGCTTGAGTTCAGAGTGGTTTTTGGAGCAGAATGAGAAGGACTCAGTATCAGATTGGGAATAGGAAGTGTGTGGGTTAAGGGGGTGAAGAAACTGATATATAAGGAGTTCTAGCTACTAGGGTATAAAACACAGGGGCTTGGAGGGGGTCAGGCATTCTTACCCAAGTGGCTCTTGGCACATGGGGCACTGTGGGAGCCATCTACAGGGCAGCGATAAACATCCCCTCTCCGGTCACCTGAAGGCCCATCCCAGGGGGCACCCACCAGCATCCTGTGAGAAGGATGTGAATATAAGCATAGGGTGACTATAACCCTTGACATAGACCAGAAGGAAAGCACGTGGAGGTGGCAACTTAAAAGAGTCCCAGCCCATCTGAGATGAATACACACTTCTGAGATAAAGAAATATAAATGGCAAATAAATATATGAAGCAATGTTCAACATCGCTGGTCACTCAACAGGTGCAAAATTAAAACACTGAGATTACATCTCACCTGAGAAAAAATGGCTATCATCAAGAAATCAACCAATAACAAACACTGGAGGGGCTGTGGGGGAAAAGGAACTCTTATACACTGTTGGTGGGAGTATAGACTGGTACAACCACTGTGGAAATCAGTGTGGAGATTTCTCAAAAAACTAGGATTGGAGGTCCCATTTGACCCAACTATTCCCCTGCTGGGTATCTTCTCAGAAGAATTAAAATCATCCTACCACAGCAATACATGTGCACCCATGTTTATAGCAGCACAATTTGTAACAGTTAGATCTTGGAAACAACCCAAATGCCCATCAGCTAAGGAATGGGTAAGAAAGATGTGATCTTATTATGCAGTGGAGTACTACTCAGCCATAAAAAGGATAAACTGGAGATTTTTATAGGTAAATGGATGCAACTCGAGACTATACTCATAAGTGAAATAAATGAGACACACATGTGCAAACATTGCATTGTCTCCCTAGTGTGAGAAGCTAAAAGAGTAAGCAAGATCCAAAATGTACAATAGGTTTTATAAAATGGAAAGAAACTGTTCAAAAGGGAAGAGAAACTGGGATGGGGGAAAAGGAGAAAAAGATATATATATATATATATATATATATATATATAAGTTATACTACTCATTTCTCTTAGTTCATTGAAAGAAAGGTTTGTACTAATATTATTTGGACAACTAAATGCCTATATCTTGTACTCTCAATAACTAATTTAAAGATAACAATACACAATGTGTATTTTCCTATTATCTTGTTTACTATCAAGATTATCAAGTATTATCAAGATAATACTCCTATTATCTTGTTTTGAAATTCGGGTGTTTTTTTCTCTTTAAAATAATAAATAAATAAATAAATAAATAAATAAAAGCCACTTTCAAACGAACACTTGAACTTGAGTCCCAGCTATCTTCCCTCCCATTTTTCAGTGTCCCAATCCCTGGTTTCCTCCTCACCATCGCTGTCCACCCCCAACATGTTGTAAGACACTGTATCCAAATTCAGCCTCTGGTGGCCCTGTGAAGAGGCGTGGGTGATGTGCGTCCAGGTTAAAGGGGGAGCAGAGACCTGGGGAGCCAAGATCACGAGGTTAGTGTGAAATGGTCAGCCAGTGACTAGAAAGGGCCAACCAGAGAAAGGACATATGGGAGCAACTTAATCTAAGTCTTTCTGCCTTCTTCTTACCCATGAGCTCGCCTGTCTTGTGTCAATGTCATGTTCCCAAAGCCGACAGGATGATCCCCTCCCTGTGTTTGGGTCCTGTGGCCCTCTGCCATGCTGATGCACAGCTGTATTTCCATTCCTACTCCTGAAATCTCATTCACAGACATGTCTGGCAGGGTTAAGTTACTCTTTTCCACATCATTCCTCCTACACATCCTCCTCTCCAAATTGAGAGGGTGAAGAAAGGGAAAGAGCCTTTCTGCAGCCCTACATAACAATTCACTCCAAATCCTCCCCAAACCCAGGACCATAAGAAGAGCAAGAGCACAGCAAGGAGCACTGTGTGTCTGGGTCTCTCCCTCAGTTCTTCTTGACTCCCAGTGACAATATCACACTCCCACTGTTTTTGCAGTGTCTACGTCTCTGGTTGATTCCAGCTCTGGAAACCTCAGTGGCAATTAACAGGGTGGGGTTGCCCGCCTGTCCACACACATAGGTTGCCAAGGGTCCCATCACCTCATCGTTTCCCACAACCT